GGAAGACCTGCCAGGGCTTACACTCTGCTGGGATAGCCTTCAAGAACTGAGAATTCCCCCATGCACTGCCATGAAGCATTAGAGGACTTGATTGAAGGGTCCTGAGTGAAAGGGCTCAAAACTATGACAGTGAGTCATTCTAACTGATCAGGAGAGGCCTCATTACCGATCAAGAGACTTCTGCCAGCCAATGAAATGATTCATGTGATCACAGATGTGGAGTTACAAGTGACTCAAAGACCACCTAGTCCAACCCTCTTGTGTTCATGAGGACGTTGAGGTCAAGTGACTTGCTGATGGTCCCATGGCAGTGTCAAAGTCAGGATTTGAACCAGGTGCTCTGATTCCAAATCCAGTATATTTCATACTGAATCACACTGTCTCTTCAGGATTCTGATTTTTGGTATTGTGATTTATTATTAGAAGCTCCAACTATGGGGTCAGGAGAATGCCACAGCTGTGGTATGACAGGATTTGTGGGTTACTTGTGTGGTTCCTCTCACAGTGAGTCCCCATCAAAGCTGCCCCAGGTTCTAGATTCTCAGTGGGTCAGCACACACACAAAGTCATAGAAGATGATCACAGTCCCCAATGTGTGCCCTCATACCTGTCAACCAAAGGACATGTTAATTCAAAATAAAATACATTTAATCAAATATTCCAGCCAATAAAGTACAAAGAAAAATTTCCTCATGTACACACTGAGTATCTTTCTACATTATATCTTAAGCTCTCAGAAGTGAGGGATAATGTATTATACTTATTAAAAAAAAACCAGAAAATGACCACAACTACCAAAAAATACCTCTTCCCCTCACTATTTTATGCTTGGAACAATATTTCACAAATAACAACAGTATCAGAATAAACCTTACATAATATCATCAATCTAAAAGTGAAAGGGACCTCAGAGACCATGTAGCACAATTTCTTTATTTCACAGATGAAGAAATCAGGGTCTAGAGAGACAAAATGAGCTGCCCACAGTCACACAGCTATTAAGTGTCAGAAGCAGGATTTGAATCCATCATCTGACTCCAGTGCCAGTGGTGATTCTGTTGTACCACACTTCCTCCCCAGGCTTTGGCTGATGCTTCTAAGCTAAAGGGGAAATGACTTTGTTTTCTATGCCAATATGTTGAAACATCCCTCTATGTCCAACGCTTTCTGTCAGCTTCATGGGAATGACAATTCAGGTTTTCTTTCTAGTGATCTTGCCTAAAAGGCAGAATTATGTGACATCCTCAAACAAATGGGTACTGAATACAACTGACTAGTTGACTGGCAAGTCTGCCTTGAAAATGCTTAAGGTTATCCTCCTACTCCAGCTCACATAATTATTGTGGAATAAGCAGTAGGAGCATCCTTCTTAGACAGTCCCCAAAGTATAAAATGAAAGAAGGCAGATCAAGAGAATCATGTCCCCTGGTAATAGATTATGGAGTGGGTTTTTTGGGTAGTTGTATTTGAAGAAAAGGTCATGTATTTTTCAAGATCTTGCACTGACTGGCCGATGTCACATGGATCCCTTGCTGATGTAAAGATAAATGGATTATTTCTTTGGGGAATTCCTACTGGAATTTCCCAAGCTCCTGCTCTGTCTTTTGAAGAAAGGAAGAGCTGTGTGTGTGTGTGTGTGTGTGTGTGTGTGTGTGTGTGAGCATGCATACATGCCCTGCATTGGAGAGGAGGTGAAGGCGTGTGAAAAATGGGTTATAGAAGGAATGTGGATTGTATTGAAACAGCCTTTCTGTTAACAATGTGCAATATTGCAAAGGAAGGAAATGAAAGGCAACTTATCATTTCTATTGTTAGTCAATCAACAAACATTAACTAAATACTTCCTCTAAGTGTTAATCTCTGAGATACAAAGAAAGGCAAAAAACAAAAGCAGAAAAACAACAACAACCACCACATTTCCCCTCCTCTAGGACTTCTCACTCGAATGAAGGAGACAACATGTAAACATTTATATAGAAATACACACACATGGATATACATAGATACACATATACATACATATAGGCATGTATACATATATACACACATATATACATACACATACATGCATACACATACATATATACACATACATATTATATAAATATGTACACATACATGTAGATATGCTTATGCATATCTATATATCTATATCTATATATATACATACAAACACACACACACACACACACACACACACATATATATATGATGTGTGTGTGGACAATCAGTGGTGAAAGAAAAATGGAGCCTCATGTTTGAGGAACTACCAATAGTCCAGCAAAACCAAATAGTCACATGGGTGGTGGGGGGCAGTAAAATGAAGATGGCTGGAAAGACAAGAAGGGGCCAAGTTGTGAAGACCTTAAGAGTCAAAAAGAGGACATTATAGTTGGTCTTGGAGATGAGAGGGAGCCATGGAGTCCACTGAGGAAGGAGATGATGTTGTCTGACCTCTACTGGAGGAGAAATCCCCTTAGTAAGCTGACTAGAGGATGGACTGTAGTGGAGAGAGCTGAGTTGAGAGGGTAGGTAGAAAACCATTGCAAAAGGCCATTTGAGAGGCAATGAGGACCCCAGAAAAGACTGTGGCTGCTTGAGTGGAGAAAAGATGCATTTGAGAAATGTGTCGAAGGCAGCAATGACAAGATTTGGCAAAAGATTCGGTTTGTGAGGTGAATGTGAGTGAGAAATCAAGGACGGGATTGACATTGTAAACATGGGTACCCTCCACAGTAATAGGGAAGTTCAGAAAGAAAAAGAGAGTTGGAGAGAGGGAGAATGAATTCTGTTTAATATATATTGAGTATGGGATATTTGTGGGACATTCAGGGCAAGATGTACAAGAGGCAATTGGAGATGCAGGATGACAGCTCAGAAGATATGGTATCTCCCAACATTGGAGGTATCATTCCATGAAAGTATGTTATGAATGTGTGAGATGATCTGCTCGAAACCTTGGTTCTGAGGATAGTACTGTTACCAGTTCAAGTCAATTCAGCTCAACCAATATTCATTAAGACCATATTTCATATTATATCATGATATAATATATAATACAAAATAATAGGTAATATAATAATAGATGAGCCATCCCTGGCAGTTATGGCCACAAAGCAAGCGGTGTAAAAAAGAACACTTTCACTTTTCATGGCAAATTATTTTGAGAGTGTGGGGAAGATGGGGGGAAGGACCTTGGACTTTGGATACAAGAGCCCTTTGGAGAGGGGTGCTTCCCTGTGGTGGGGAGACAGACTCCGGTACTCAATAAAGAGAATTCTGTGAAGGCTATCACCAGAGAAGGGCACAGAGTGGGGCTGGGCTATGGAGGAACATTGTGGCATAATCACAAATAAATATAAATCACATGCAAAGTAATCCAATTTAATTACGAGAGAAAGTAAGTAACAACTGGGGATGTAAGACTCAGGAGTGACCTTTTGTAGCAACCGATTAAATCATCAAGCCTTTATTATGTGCCTATTATGTGCCAGGTAGTATGATGGCACTGAGTCTGCAAATACAAAGAATGAAGATGAAATTATCCCCACTCTCAAGGAATATATGCAGTAGGTGATGGTTAGGTATGACTTTACGAGATGCTAAAGATTCCAAGAAATGGAGGTGAGGAGATAGTACATTCTAGATATGTGGGACCATCAGGGGTTATGTCACTGAAAATGATGTTACTACTTCTAATCTGTACATCTAGGTATCATGAGAGCAAATTAATACCTTAAATAGATTTATGTTTAAAACATTAATATGTACATAATAATAGTAATAATAATAAAAATAGTTATATAGAGCTTATTATGTAACAGGCACCATGTTAAAAGCTTTACAAATGTTAACTCATTGGATACAACAATACTGAGAGGTAGATGCTATTGTTATGCCCACTTTATAGTTGAGAAAATTGAGGCAAGCAGAGATTAAATGACTTGCCCAGGGTCACACAGCTAGTAAGTGTCTGAGGCAGAATTTGAATCCAGGTCTTCCTAACCTCAGGTCTAACACTCTATCCACTGCAGCGCCACCTAGCTGCCTACATGTGAATACATATATTAAATACCTAGCATGTGGTTTTAGGTGGGGGTTTGTGAATAGTACTTTACTGGTGTAATGAGAAGGTAAATTGTGAGGTTATTTTTTAAATTATTATTTCATTTTCCTAGACCAATGATTGAATTCTCCAACTTTTTTTAATGTTCTTAACCCCTGGGTAAAGGGTGGGGGAGAGAACCAGATGAAAACAAAACAAAATAAAGCATAGACATCCCTTTAGCTCCTCTCCCACAAATACTTCTTTGAGGAAATGGGGGTCAGTTGGGACTATGCGAAGGACCGAAGTATCCAGGAGGAACCAGAAGGGGGTGCTGTCCTCAACTCCTAGCTATCATTTTCTAGCTTTGCCTGAAGTTGGAACCCCGTGGCCACAAAGTCTGGATTTGATTATAGGAAATTGTGTGTGTGTGTGTGTATGTGTGTGTGTTTCTTTTGCAATATCACCCCCCCCCACCATGACAAACATTTTTTTTAAGTTTGGAAAGCAAACATTTTCCCCAAAGAAATTTACTGTTCAAATTGACACCAACTTCTCACTAACTGGAGCAATCCGGGTTTCCACTGAAACTTGGAGTATTTCTCTGTAAAATATTAGTCACTCCTCTGGAAGAAGCAGCAGCTATTGTAGGCAGGGGCATAAAATGGGCACAGATGTTGGTGCAATAATAGAGGTTTTAAAATGTGCCTTGTTTTTGTTTGTTTGTTTCAAGAAAAATGGGGAGGAGAGAAAAAAAAAGATGACTAGCATGCTAAAATAATGGTATTTTATATTACTGAAATGTGGAAGTTTTGATGCATTTAGCCTTTTGAAATTATTTTACTAATTTTTTTGAAATGATGCTAAGACATGTCTTGGGAAGAAGGTTCCATGTTTGGTTGAGGATTCCATATTTGTCTTCACATATGTAACTGGCTGTGTTCATCTCATGCAGAACTGTAGTGATGCCGATTGCCAGAGAATTTGGTCCAGACATAGTCCTTGTTTCTGCGGGATTTGATGCTGTGGAAGGCCACACCCCTCCACTGGGTGGGTACAAAGTAACAGCAAAATGTAAGTATCAAAGTCTGGCATTTATTTACTTCTGGGCCTTTTGTGGATAGCAAAGCCCCTATTTTGAGCTGATATTTACTGGAATCAAGTAAATTGTGTGAAACATTCACAAGCAATTTCAAAGAGGATGCTCATTGTTTCAGGAAACTCATCCTTCTTCCTAGACATGGGTGAATCTCAATGAAGATTAAAATTTTAGTGTCCTAGAGGGAACTACAGTAAGGAAGTCAATCCATGGCTAGCCAACTGACACCCAAAGCAGACCCTCAATTGATGTGTGTGTGTGTGTGTGTGTGTGTGTGTGTGTGTGTGTGACATAGAACCCTGGAACACTGGTAAAATATACCTCATCTGAATAGATTTGAGTGATGTGATTTTCTTTAAGAATAATTATGGGGAAAGAGGTGGTGGGCCATCTGTAACCCACATCTGAAAATGTAGGTCAAGTACCAGAGAGAGAGAAAGAGAGAGAGAGAGAGATTGTATAAAACAAAGTTTGTATCTAGTAAAACTAACCAAATGTCTTCACTGGAGATGAACAAAATGACAAGTCCCAAGGCTGGGAGAGAATGGGTTAAAAAGGTTGTGTTCATGTCATAGGGCCCAAGAACTCAATTGCTGCCAATGTTTGTCTTCTGCTGGACAGTGATTGACATGGTTTCTCTGTCCATCTATTGCTTCTGACCATAGAGTTCTCCAGGATCTCTTTTTAACATCCCGTCAGAATTTGCTCATTGTCTGTTCATGGCACCACTCACTCTTTAGGTGAACCATTGGAGGACACAACCTCAGTAATATACAATGCTAGACATCATAATTACTCACTCTGGAAAAAAACAATAATTGACATGGTTTCTATCAATCAAGGATCCTCATGACCGTTTTGTTCCACAAAACACAATTTAAATGGAAGCCACACTTTTCAATGCTGATGTCCTTGCCTTTGGGTCAAGACTTAAGAATAATTGACCCCCCCCCAAATAGTATTTTACATCATCTTTAGCTAGACACAAACAATACAAAACACATGGGGAGCCAAGAAGGAAATGGAGAAAAGATGCCCTTTCTCATTCATCTCTCAGAACATCCCTCAGGCTCTGAGTGGACGTCTATCTTCAACTCTGTTTCCTTGCCAAGGGAGACAGTTGTAAAACACTTATTTCCCAGAAGTAGCTTGAAGGCATGAGCTGGAATTATTTATTAGCTGCCTGCCAAATTGCATTCAAATCTCAAATGGTATCCTTCACCAAACTGCCCCACCTCCCCCAGTTCTACCATTGTTTTGGCAGTTTTGATGTAAGAGGAGGGAGAAAAGGAAACAGAAGAATAATGGAACAAGCTATCTTTTGGTTACAGATATAAATGCAATTATATATATATATATATATGTGTATATATATATATATATGTGTATATATATATATATATATATATATAAGTCTTAGAGTTTATTGTTTGTTGATAACCCATTCTTCATTTTATGTAGGCAACTAGAAAATGCTGCTGCTTGGATTTGCCCAAGGTCAATCAGAATTTGAGCCCAGGTTCTCTGGCTCCAAACACAACACTCTTTCCTCCTATAGCCTGGTGATGCCTGCCATATATATCTTCTTTATGCTCCAGGGCTGTCACAGTCATTATTCTTTGGGGATTGCCGAATTTTATATTTTATATTCATATGTCATCATTGAGATAATTAAAAAAAAACAATAAAACAGTAATAATATCTAATGTTTATTTAGCACTTTAAGGTTTCCATGGCACTTTTACATATATTCTTTTATTAGATCATCACCACCGTTCCATAAGACAGGGGCTATTCACCCCACCCCCACTACCATTTCACAAATGAGGAAATGTGGTACACAAAGGTTAAATGACTTTCCCAGGGTCACACAGCTAATAAGTGTCTGAGGCAGGATTTGAATTCAGATCTGCTTGACCTCCAATTCAACACTCCATCCATAATACCAGTAAAATACATGTGCTAAAAAAAAATCAATTTTTAATTTAGGGAGCAGCTTAGGATCACTGAAAGCACTTTCTCGTATGCAATGCAACCTGCCCTCTTCCTTTTGTTCCATTGTTGGCCTATGACCTTGTCATTCTATAATGTCTGTCCAAGATGAATATGCTGAACAGCCAGCTCTGTGGGCTGTCCATCCAATTATATAAGATGGTATGGACAGCTAGCGTCTTGTATTCACTTGTGGCTGGCATGGATTGTTAGAACTTCAGATCAAGGACTGTCTTTTGCCTTCTCTAGCACTTAGCCTGGCACATAGTAGGTGGTTAATAAATGTTAGTTGATGAATGATTGACTTACTGTGTGCCACACTGTGCTAAATGCAAGAGATACAACCAATGAGAGCAAAACAAAGGATAATCCCTACCCTCAAGGGGCTTCCATTCTAATTGAAGAAAACAACACAGAAATGGAAGCTAAAAGCAGTTTTGGGAGTGAAAAGAGGAAAGGAGCCTTGTGGTGAAGTTCAGACAGTCAGAAGTGGATCTGGGAGAGGAAGGAAAGATGGCTGACCCAAGCCCTTCTTCAAACTGTAACTTCGGAGGAGAACTTACCAGTGGAAGGAAGGAGCCACGGGGCAGAGGTATTGTTCATAACTGAGAGGCAAGACCTTGGTAACTGCTCTGGAATCTGACACGCAAATACAATGGTCTTCAAAATTTTATATATTTCCTTTTAAAAAAAAGTTATTAAAGGATGACTTTTTCAACTAAAAAGTATGGTGCAGATATCGGATCCAATTTAATCTATTGAAAATTTATTCAGTACCTTCCCTATATTCTTGGTGTATATCAGACTAGCCTGGTAGATAGAGAATCAGGAAGAACTGGTTTGGAGTTCTGACACTGACCCATATTAGCTGTGTAACTCTGGGCCAGTCAACTAACCTCCCAGTGCCCCAAGCAATTACCAATGACTTTAAGGTGTGAGATCTGGAAGAAAAAAGACACTCCTTCCTTCAACTCCATCCCGCTGGCCTGTGCAAAGCATTGTGAGATGAAGTCCTGGTAACTTACAGAAAATATGGTTGTCAATAGTCTTTAGAGCACTTAAGCGGGCTGTGAGTTTGAATGCTCTGAAACATACGGCAAAGCATTCTAATAAACTTTTTGTCCAAACCTGTGATTTCATCCCAACACGGATATGGCTTTTATTTATGCAGATTAACAACTGATTTGTAATTTATGGTCTGAGAAAGTTGCCTAGAAGACTCTGTGGTTAAAGACGTAGGCCTTAGTCATGTAACACACTAAGTATTTATCCAAGCAAGATGTTGAGTCCACGTCTTTCTTACCCAAAGGGTACTCTTATATCTACTATGCCATTCAGTCTCTCATTCATGTAATTAAAGACGTGCAAAAGGAGAAAGGGATGCTTTGGGCGGTGAGAAGTTCCCACACAATGAAGGTATCCAAGGGGACATTGAGTGACCACTTCTATGACATTTAAAAAAAAGTTTGTTGTGGACATTTTGAAAAGGCATTTCTATTGAATTTGGTCTATATATCCTCTAAGATCCCTCTCATCTCAGAGATCCAATAAAAAACCTCTTGGTAGCCAAAATAGACTGCACAAAATCGCATCTCATGTGCTTTCCATTAGAGGCACTGTGGCATAGTGTCTAGAGACCTGATGTTGGAGGCTAAAGAAGCTGGCTTCAAGTTTTACCTCTCATAGAGTCACTGTCTGACTGTTCAGACAAATCTTAAAAACTCAAAATTGCAGGGCAGTTTCCAACCTGCATTTGGAGGAATATTCTCATGGCAAAGTCCTTATAACAATAATATCCCAGGTCTGGTCGCCATGTCTCCACCCCTCTCAAAAAAAAATAATGCTGGTGTTACTCTTGATGCTGTAGCATATTAGAGGTGAACAGTATAAATGGGGAGGGAGGGCTTTGGGGTGAGATCCTTCAAGGGAGGGGGAGAAGAGAAGACCACTGCTTTTTCTGGCTAGTCAGACCAACTCATGCTAGCAAGACTTGAAAGCCAACACACTAATAAGGAGGAATGAAACAGAAAAAGGATTAAAAGCAAAGGCACCTGAAAAGCTCACTGATGTGACAGCATTCCATTCATTCATTCATTCATTCATTCATTCATTCAACAAACACTTATTAAAAACCCCCTATATGTTGAGCACTGTGTTGGGTACTAGGGATACCAGGACAGAAAAAGGGAAAGGAAAATGCCTTTCTTCCAAAAGCTCACAGCTTGCCTAGGTCCCCTTGCTTATGAGAACAATATTGACTTTGATGTTCATAAAGTTGACCTGAGGTAGTAATACAATGTTATATTATATCCAATATCCTTTTATAAAGTGGGAGGGGAGTGCATAATGCCTTTTGGCAAGATGTTGATGGGGGAATTTTTTCAAAAATAAATGCCACTAAGTAAGATAAAGTTCAGTTATTTGGAAAATTGACTTATATGGAATTCTTCATGCCCAAAGGCCAGATGAGCTGTTAATCTAGTCTCTTCCTCATTATAAATATTGTAAAAGGCTGATATGATTATCTAATAATAACAATACTAAAAATAACAGCAACAACCCCATGATAGTAAATGGCAATATCTTCATATCAATGAAATAATCATTTTTATGTGTTTATAGTATGTTTGTTTATTTGTTGTGCTTACAGTTTATTTTTATTGTGTTTATATATATATATATATACATAAACAATTTTCATTCCTGATCATCTCTTCCTTTCCACTGAATTATCCCTTCTAACAAAGAATAACAAAAGAAAGAGCATTAAAGTAGTTCAGCCAAACCCACAACATGTCAATTGTGTATGTAAATGGTACATTCCACACTCATCATCTTCCACCTAAGCAAAGAAGGTTAAAGGTATATTTCTCTTCTCTTGTGTCATCTTTCTTCTTGTTATTTATAATTCCAAAGTTCCTTTTCCCAGTTGTGTTGCTGTTATTATTATTCTCTTTTACCTTGTTACAATTGTTTTGTATAT